AGAACCATGTTCTATTCGTGCGATCGGTTGCGATCGTCTGCGATCGAGTGCGATCATATATGAACATAGTTTTGCGATCATGCGATTGGAATGTGTCCCATAATGCTATGTTTTCCCAGCGTGCAGTACTGCAAGCTGCATGATACCATGACAACCAGTTGTTTATCAACTTTTACACTTGCGTGTGTTTTGACAAGATGGAAGATGAAATTGACACGGAACAGTTTATGGAAGAAATTAGAAAATACAATTGTTTGTTCGATCGCCTTAGCAAAGAATTTAAAGACAAGTTCAAGAAGATTAACGCCTGGTCCAAAGTAGGCGAAGTTTTCAGCATTTTCCCAGCAGCTGCTGCGAACATGTAAATGTGAACATATGATTCGCGATCTTCGGTTGAGTGATTTCAGCGATCGTGCGATCACCTGCGATCGTCAACGATCGCCTGCGATTATAGGTGAACCAGGCAAATAAAATAACTTTAAACAGTTTCTGAACAAGAACGAAGTAACTACTTCTACTACGAGTCGTTCGTAAAGCCTATTTTAGGTTATTGTAAATCGACTCGCCCGAACACTAACTAGACAAAAAAACCTTGAGTGACTGTTAGTTTAACTTATTTTTAATCATTAGGAGTAAAAAAAAAAACACAAACGCGACTGGATGTAAATTTTAGTGTGCGTTTTCGGCTTACGAACAATAGAAAAAGTCTCAATGTAACAGTAGAGGGTGGAGCAACAGAATTTCGCTTTGGAACACTAACAGTTGATTCCCAATTTTTCAAATCTCCATGGGAAATGAAAATCAGATGAAGTACTTGGGTTGACTGGGGAAGGGGAACGACTAGTTTTTCGTTTTTTTTAAGCAGGAAAATGCGTACTCAACTACTCATATTCGTATTTGCTGCAACCTACAATAGGTACAGTATTAATTAAGCATGAGTTGACCGACGTTTGTGAGCATGTATTTGAGGGTCGGATGGTGTGCTCTTGGCTAATAGTCTCCCGCCTTCCCCTCCTCCTGCGGACGTGTACCATTTCTTCGTTAACTCCAATGCCGCCTTCCAAGCGAAGGGGAAAGAAGAGACTCTAAATGAAGAGACTTTAAATTTTAAAGGGGCACTTAACAGTTTTACATGGAACTGTTCGTATTGAAGATTGATCCACTACGAAGACGTTTCAAACGACGTTTATACGCTCTGTCTAACTCTTCACAATCATATCAGCTCTCACATCACGCGCTTACCTAAACATCAATAGCTTTTGTTTAAATCTGTCATCAACTTCCTGTAATAACTGCCTTTACACACACACGTTAATAAAAAAAATTCCAAAAAATTTCCCACGGCGCCAAGGCACGCTTAATACCCGAATTTTTTAAAACCTGCGCCAAAACATAAACAACTATGCACTGTTATCATTTTTTTAAACGGATCCTTATTGTCTGCTGAACAAAAGATAGTCGGCACCCCTTACTTCTGTTGCATAAACCAATTATCGTACCTAAAACAATGGTTAATAACAGTGTTATTTGATGTTTATGTATCACACTTTGGAGTTGATGGAACATTTTTATCACCAAAATGTTGACAAATCAACCTAGTTAGGAGTATTACATCGATTGACGCTTAATTCAGGCTATTTTCTGAAGCTGAGGCACAGATAATACAAACAGATTATTACATCTAAGCGTTATGACGTATAGGACATCTACAGGGGGCTTTCTTCTCTGTAAGCTGTTTCGAGTGGCTCAACTTTAAATTTTCTGCGTGAGTAGAACGGTACTACGCAAGTTTTGACACTTTTTTCAGGTTAAGACTAATTGTTCGTGATTTCCTGTTTTCACTAGAAAGTTTACAAGCTTCAATTATCGTATCCAGAATAGTCTAGCTTATCCAAAGGGTTAAGTTCATTCGGACCGTGAAAATTGTGATGTCATGCTCAACCGTTCTAGTCGGACAGAGGATGTTAAATGAATGTTCTGGCTAAACAATATGACGAGTGAAGGAAGGATGCGATTAATCAAGTATATTTTATCTTCGGCTTTATTAGCAAATTTGAGGTTTATCTGTTTTGCCCAATCCGACTGGAGAATTCTAACAATGAAAATCACATCTAACAATAGCGAGCCGAGGGGTGGGTGTAACGGAAAAGGAAATAAAGCCTATTAATTCAGGCTGCATACTTATCAATCTGACGGTTGAAGCGACCTTTTTCAGTGTACGTGCAAGCTCAGCAAGGGTGAGTCACGCTTTGAAAATACGAAAATCCGTTTGATGTTGTCATCCAACGTCAGACGAGGGGAGAAACTCGATGATAAAAGTTGAAGCCTACGACATTCAACAGAAACGAACAGTACCGTGACAGAAAATGCCGAACAATCTCAAAGCTTTAAACAAGTTTTCCAGGTCAGTGGACGAGAGTATTCTACAGAGAAGCATTCCTGTGTGCCACTTTAATCCGTCGACTACAAAAAAAGCCATGGAGATCGAAGTTGTTGACAGATTCCGGGAAAGTTCGCATGCAGACTTCTGTGAAAGAATGTACAAGAGTTTTAAATCTCAGAGTGCCGTAATGGAACTTAACAGAAGATTGAGTTCGGCCCAGTATACTTTTCCAGACGACAATGGGATTTTATCCACAAAGTTTCCTGAGCAAGCTGTTTGCGAAAGCAGGGAAAAAGAAACGAAAAGCGGCCATTCCAGGACAGATGTCGACATTAGAAGTTTACTTAGACTTCAATCGAATGTCTCTTCGGCAAAGCCGGGAAATTTAGGCTTGAAAAATCGTTTAAATGCACATAATGGAATTTTTGAAATGCAAAATATCACTTATGTTTCTGATAAAGCCAACTTGAGCGCCGCCGAATCAGAGTGCAATGGTACAGAACATGCAGAAGAACATGGAGCGCTGGACATAACAACTCCGCGTAAGAATAAACAGCCACAGCTGAAACTTTTGTTTAGCTCCGGACAAGGTGGCGTGGGGCAAGATGAATTTGACACATTTAATGAACCTGTCGGGGTAACTGCTACGCCAGATGGTAAAATCATTGTGGCAGACTACAACAACGACAGACTACAAGTATTATCCAGCGACGGGAAATTTATTCGCGCGCACGATCACTACTCGAGGGAGAGCGGAAAGAAATTTCCGTTCATGTGCCCCGCTGGGATTGCGTGCGATGCATTAGGTAACATAGCCGTCGTGGAAAAAGGCAAAAATCGTGTTGTTGTTCTATCTCCAGCCTGCACTATCGTGCACGCTTTCGGTCGACATGGCAAAAAACAAGGTCAGTTCAGAGGGCCCCACGGAATCTTTATAGACGCTCGAAACCGTATTATCGTCACTGACACAATGAACTGCCGCATACAGGTTTTTGACCGAGAAGGAAATTTTCTCTTCCTGTTCGGTGATAAGGGGCCAGGGAAACTCAATTACCCATGCTACGCGATCTTTCACGAAGGACGGTTCTACGTAACTGATACAGACAATGACTGTGTGAAAGTTTTTGACACTCGTGGTACTTTTTTGAGGACTTTTGCAGATGGACTCAGCGCACCTTCCGGGATTGCGGTCTACAAGGGAAAATACCTTCTCGTCTGTGACTATAGCAATGACTGTGTGAAGATCTGTTCCCTCGAAGGACGGGTGTTAAGCTCGTTTGGAAGCAAAGGAGACGGTATTAATCAGTATTGTGGTCCTGAGGCTCTTGTGGTTACTCCACAAGGAAATATTGTCGTAAGCGACAAACTTAATTCCAGAATCCAAGTGTTCGACTTAGTTATTTGAGCAATTAGTTTAAAAAAAAATTGTATTCATCGATTTTTATGCTGGTGTTCAGGCTCGCTAAAAACTAAAATGCGAAATAAACCGTGCGAAAGTCATTCGAGCGATGAAAGCTATAAAGGAAGGCAAAATTCCCAACAGGATTCACGCTGAATTTACAATAGCAATAACAGTTTGGTCACGTTTTTTAATTGTTACGCGAAGTGCCATATCTAAATCCCAACAATTAGAGATAAATCTTCTTAAAATTGTTCTGGACCGCCTGTTCAATCTCTTAGTTTTAGATTGTACGGTCTCTTTTTCATTTCCCTTCGACTGTTTTTGATTAGAATCCCGATGAGATTAAAAGTTCAAATTTATTCAAACCGAAGGTCTCCTTCCCATGATGCCTGTCTGGTTCAGACTAAGAGAGTATAAATCCTGAGCAGTTAATATCCTCTTGTTTCAGATCATTTCCTGCGGGCATCGTCGTCAGGGTTTTTCTTCAAGCTTCTGAAGAAATTTTTTTCATAGTGCAAGTTTGAACCAAGATTTTAATTTGAAAAAGAAAGACTACTTTCGAGTAACTTCCTTCTACCAAGGTTATCCGCAAATTTTTGTTAAATCGCATCGTTGAAACTCTGATAGGCTGTGGCTTGTTTTAAATATGCGTAGACCGTTTTTTTAGTTTTTTTTTATTAGTTTAGAGATATTGCAGGAATGATGTAAAATGTACAGTTTGCAGATATTTTATGAAGATGCTAGATTGTTCAATGGACTGTACAAAATTCACTTGATTTAAAATATTACTTAAGTATTTAGCCAGATATTTATTCGTATTTCAAAGTTAATAGATGGAGCGATTAAAGATATAACACAGTCTCACATCAGTTCTTTTTTAGACTTACAGAGAACGGACTTGCGCAACATGAAACTAAGACGAACCGTTATCGTTTAAACAACCACTTGGTGCTGTTGCGAAACACAACAAAAGACATATTCCCACTCATTTTATCAAGTGCGAGCAAAATAGATTGACTGTAGTCAACGTAGAGAGAGAGTGATTTCAACCGAGGTTAGAGTTACAGACGCACGAATTCTGTACGGCACAACAGTTTTTCTTCCTAAAGCTGTTAGGAACAAATCAGTTAAACAAATGCGTTTTGAGACATTTAGAACTAAGACCAACTAAGGTGTACGCAATCTGATAACAATATTTTTGTAACTTGCGTGGTTTGATTCTAACCAAAGTGTCGCACGGATCAGAATTAATTGTCTTCATTTAAAGCCATTTTGAACTTTTTCTGCCAGTTTTTAAGCTTAGTAAGAGAACTACCATCCTCTTCAATCTTGGTTCCCTGGAGCTCAAATATTCTTTCCACACATTTCAGAGTCACATAGTGGTCCGTGGATTGCAGCGATAGTCTTCGATTGACTTTCATTGAGACGTGTGCTTCTCTGAAGGCCATTTTTGCAGCCCTGGCAGCCGAAGTGTACCTCAGCTTAGAGATTTCGTTCATACGAGCTTGCCGACTGTCAGGTATCACCTTAGGTCCTTTCTTTGAGCGCGACGCAACGAATTCCAGTTTCTGTGGTTGGTTAGGTTTGTTCGAATTACCCTGGTAACCCTCAGGCACTCCTTCTAAGGAATTGCGTCTTCCTTCTTGACTTCCTACAGTAGGAAGGTTCCCCCTCAAGAAACCATGGCTTCCGGCAGTACGTGGATCAAATTTAATAACGTCGGACACCAAAGAAGACTTTCTTCCTTCAAGCTTGTGTTCATGTTCTTTATTCGACACAATTGTTAAGACATCTGTGACTAGTGTACTCCGACGCCTTGGTCGAGGTTTGTTGTAAGAAACTCCGGCAAGCGGTTTCGTTTCTTCCTCAATTTTCTGAAGGGACATCCTCCTTTGTGCGAAGGACCGCAGCAAGTCATTGCGCAAGTTTAGAGCGCAGTCTTTGTCATGTATTTCGAGACCGGAAATAGTATGCCGCCGAGCTTGGTTGCTCTGTTTCGTTGCGTGGGCGGGCGCAGTGTAAGTGAAGCAAGTAACCATCTTGGTTTTCTTGCCGATTTTGGCGGGTGTTTTCTGAATTTCAACGGGGTAAGTTTCCTCTTCTGAGGAACAAAAAAACAAAAAAAAAAACAAAAAAAAGAATAGATAAAACATTTAAATTACTTCAACTGACGTCTCACAACGTCAATATTAAGACTGCGCCTCGAGCACCACTTTTTTTGTCCTTATCTCATTTTGACCACATCTGTAATTTATCACCGAACGACAAAGAATCTGTTTGTTAATTAGTTGATTGGCTATCCTGTCGATAAATCCTGTGAGCTTTCTCTTTAAGACATTACATTTATGTTTATCGTTGAATTTTCTATCGTAATTGTTTTCCCTTAAGTCAACATCATCATTGCACGTTTTCTATTTCAGTATAATTATCATAGAAGTTACTTAATTGAGTTATAGTGAATCCCCGCTGTCAACCATCACTGAGTTAGGTTACTCGAATTACAAATTCGCATGTTTTATGCTTACCGAATTCGTTCATCTCTTGAGGGGCACATTCCGGGGGCTTACGCACAGGGATCGGCTGAGGAGCATCGGCAAGATAGTGCAGGTCACGGTTTTCATCGATGGCCCGTATGCACCAGGGGCTCTTAAATGCTTCCTCCGCTGTGGCCCGTTCATATTCGTCCACATCTAACATCCAGCGGACAAGATCACGATACTCTGTGGAGAGAAGTCAACTGTAAAAAATCAATTTAAGGAAAAACATACTGGAGTCCAAACTCCGTAGAAAATATTTATTAAACCTGTTAAATGTACAACAACATTTGGATAAAAAAAACTCCGAAACTTCTTAAAATTCCCAGCAAAGGGGTAACACATTTATGCGAACGAAAGCTCAAAAACAATTAACTAAAACTCCGCGAAAACAAACAATAAATGCGCGAAAAATGTCCACGTCAGTTTTCCAACGTCAAGGTTACAGTTCTTTGACGTGATTGGTTAATTTGCGACATCACTTACGCGGCACGCGAATACAAAAAGAATACAAAGGGGGGAGGGAAAGAGAACAATTTTTACTTGAAATTTCAAAAAGAAAGAGATTTTCTAAATCAATTATGAAAAGTTATCAAAGGCTGGAACTAACTACTGAAGAATGACCGAACTAGTGCGTTTTGATACACAGATTTGAGTTAAACGTATTGCAAGCCTTGCTCTCAAAGCAAACTGCAACAATTTTGTTCAGACTTCATCACAATTTGTATACTCTGCACCTTTAAATGCAATCATAATACCACTTTTTACTATTGTTACACGTACTCTGCATTCATACCATGACCTAATCCTAGCGAAGAAGGCATAAATCATTACATAATGATATTTCTCGTGGTGACTTATCCAATGAGAAAATAGATAGAGGAGGAGGATAGTGGAAGAGAACGAATAAAAGTGCATCGCTAAGTGGAGGATTTCTTGCATTGTAGGACAGGGCTTACTTCACCAAAGTACCTCCCATTTTGTTCAGGCGGCATAAAACCAACAAGTAGAGCAATTTTCAATTCAGCGTCGAAAGAAATCCGGGATTGCTTTGTTTATGCTCTGCTCCGCTATCCGATTCGTCCAGAAAACTCATCCACTCTCTCGACCATTCACTCTATCTCTTTGGTTTAGAAACTGGTTCGAAATTGTTACACCAGTTGCAAAACCTTGTTAAGTGAGTTTAGTATACAGTGCACAGTACACAGAGTACTTTCGCTTTCCATTTGAAAATTGCTCGAACGTTTTCAGTCAAAACCACTGCCATACCTTTACTAACTCTTTTTGAAAACTTGATTTTGTTGGTGTAGTCATCCTTTATTAAATTTCTCATATCATTTTCACTAAAGGGAAGTCTCGCACAGCCCATTGCATATAGTACAACACCCATGCTCCACACGTCGGCTTTTTTACCGTCGTACGGCCTGCCTCGAAGGATTTGAGGACAACAATAGGCGAAGGAACCACAGTAGGTTTCTAAAGGACGATCTTTCACCGTGCCCACGGCAAAACCAAAATCTGAAATAAAGAAGCAGATCATCTAGTGTAGGTACTAATGAGGAATTGCCTTGTTTTAACTCTTCATTCTCGCGACATGTCTGCGTGGCTTTATTCATTACATGATTCTTAGGAACAAATTTATAAAAAAAAACATTTACGACAAAGGAGGCTGGAGTCTAAACTCCGTAGAAAATATGTATTGAACGTGTTAAATCAACCCCAACATTTGGCTAAAATAAAAACCCCGAAACTTCCTAAATCTCCAAGCAAAGGGGTAACAAATACGCGAGAACGAAAGCTCAAAAACAACAAGCTAAAACTCGCGAAAAAAAAACTAAAGTACTAAAAGTACGCGAAAAATGTCCACGTCAGTTTTCTAATGTCAAGGTTAGAGTTCTTTGACGTGTTGGCTAATTTCTGAAATCACGCGCGCCGCGCTGAAAACAACAACAACAAATCAAACGAGAGGAAGAGAAAAATTGTTACTTGAAATTTAAAAACGAAGGAGATTTTCTACAAAATTGTTGATTGAAATTATTCCTGGCATGAGGAATTCGATTCCCTTTTCTAATTCAGACAAGCTTTCAAAAATCTAATATATTAAAATTTTTACGGTGTTGGTACACCCCTCTAACAATTTGGAAATGTCTTTGTCACTAATAATTAACAATTAGATCATGAGCGTGAGATTTCTATCGCTCGATGTTTGATGAAGGCGAAGCCCTCGAAAACAATCACGCATAAAAATCGAGCGTTCATTATCTAATAGGATATATTATTACCCTTCTTCAACACTCGTTTTCATTATTATTTTATACCGATGATTTGTCTAATTGAACTGCTCAGTGCGTTTTTTTAGCCTACGCATCTTCTTAAACTATAATTTTTCAAGATAGCTACCTGTTACTTTTAACTTTCCGTCCCCAGCTATCAATATGTTTTCACATTTCAGGTCTCTATGTACCACGTTTTCCTTGTGGCAGTACGTCATGGCAGCGGCAAACTGACAAAACAGCTTGCGTACCTCCTCTTCAGGTAGCACGGTTCTTGCGTTTATGTATTCCAATAAGTCGCCTCCAGAAGCCAATTGTAGAACAAGATACACCTTAGTGGAAGTTTCCACAACTTCGTACAGCCGGATCTGCATAAATATAGAGTTTGCACCAAAAACTTTGTCTCAACAACATCCCTATAGCCTGCAGAGCAGGCGCAACTTTGGCGAGCGAGTGCTCAATATTTTCTTAGCAAAAATTATGACCGCTATCTTTTATTTTAATAGCAGCAGAGGGCTATGAAGAGAAAGAAATTTGTAAACGATTGCGAGCTTCTTAGATTAACGCTGACTCGTCCTTATAAGACGCCTGCACTGCAAGCTAACATCTCTATAAAGAACGAATTTGAGTAATAAGTAGTCATGGTTCTGAAGAGGAGCAGGGGATCAGTTTTCGCTTTCGCAAAGCTTTTACGAGGCTCAGAGCCACGTGAGCAATTTTAAGGATACCAATGTGCATTCAAATCAACTGTTATGCTCACGGATCGAGAACCTGGATTACGTGCGCGAGCCAACTCGCATCTGTCGACCCCAATCTCTTATACCAAACAGAAAATTCGAACTATCACAGCTCAGCTTTCACTGGCATATACTTGAATAATGATAAGCGCTAATAAAAACTGTGATGAATACGGGAGAACCTAGGCATGGGCAAAAAATTGCTCATAAAATCTTCCTTTTAGGACGTGAGAAAACGTCTGTTTCACTCCTCTAGCCACCTTCGGAATATTTTCGGAACGTCATCGGAAATATTCCTACGTCTCGGTTACGATCGGCGTTCTGTTATAAAGTACTCACACTTTGAGGATGAAATTCTCATGACTTTAGCCAAAAGAAAATTATCAGGAATAAATGTGAGATCTCTTCGCTTTGTCATCGAGTCTCAACTGAAATGAAACTTCTCTTACCACGTTTGGATGATTGAGTCTGTGCATCAGATGAACCTCTCTGGGCAGAAACTTTTTGAGGAAGTCCTTAGGTGCTCTCCTTTTGTTTATCGTTTTAACTGCTACTTTTTTGTTGTGCTTTTTAGAGTCGGCGAGCTTAACTTTGGCGTACGCGCCTTCCCCCAAGGTTTTTAGGAGAGTATAACCATGTTTCTCGATGGCTGACAACTGCTGCTCTTTCTTAGGCAGCCACGAATCATTTTTCTTCACCAAGGTGATGTTGGATTTCGTCATTGTTACCGTTCAGTCACTGATATTGAAAATAGTAATGGTTCATGCTCCCCGTCATGCCTTTATCAGTCCAGTCATGTGACCATGTTCCGGAAATTCTCAGCCTTACTCTTATGTAGCAGCGCGCAACTTTGAACGACGAGTTAATTAGAAGTTAACAATATGACGTCATTAATAGAAATGGCGCCAGTTAATTACCATCTGGCTCCAGTTTTTCGAAGGGTGGATAATGCGATCCACTGGACAAATCTCTAATCGTTGAATAACGCAGTACGTTTTACTAACAATTATCCGCTGGATAGCGATTTATCCGTTGGATAGCGTTATCCGCCCTTAGAACAACTGAGTCCTGGGCATGACTCACACAAAGGGTCTCCTGTTCTTGCTCTGTTTGTTTTTTGCAAGAGATGCACAAGATGCTGTCCTGAGATAATTCATACTTCATCGTGAAACACAAACCAAAAACAATGTAAAAATCTGCTGTGTCAAAGTGAAAAAATTCGTCCCTGATGCTCAGTAACCAAGTGCCAAAAATATTAACGGCGGCATGGTTAACAGGTCATTCGTATAGATTGTAGTCCTCTACAGCCAATAGGACGGGCCACAATGGAAAACACTTTCAAGGAGGGATTGAGCCCATCCTGATTATTAGCTGCACGTATCGACACTGTGCCAGAATTTGCTGTACATTTTTGCTAGTTTTTCAAGACAACAACTTTTACAATAACTTTATTCGTACCCTACATTAATTATATGCTACAAAAAATTAAATAAATAAATATATATATTACATGAAAAATGGAGTGAGTCCAGGCTGCCAATAATAACCGTTGAGGGCTAAAAAGATAAGGTAGCCTTACTTAGGTTATTAATAAATTATTACATTAAAGGGTCAGGTACCACAAACGCGCACACACTACACAAAACACAAAAAGGAAAGAAGAAAAAAAGCTGGCAGAAAAAAAAAGACTACAAAAGAAAGCTAAGTATACCAGCATGTAACAACGGAAAGCCAGAAAAAATGTAGCTTCGGTAAATCTGCAATTAATATTTAGCAATAAGAATTGACTTACACTTTTTCTTTAAACGTTTAAGAGAAATTAGAAAGGAGCTTTATTTCATCACTTATATCTTTTCAAAGTTTAGCTCCCTGGAACCTTATGTTAAAAATTCCATAATTTGTTCTGGCTTCTGGGATAACATAAGTCATCCTGGCTCCAGTTGTTCTAGGATCGGATAACGCTATCCTCTGGATAAATCTCTATCCTCTGAATAAAGCTATACCTTTTGCTATCACTTATCACTTAGCGATATAACCGTTGGATAGCGTTATCAACCCTTTATACAAGTGAGCCCTGGGGGACAACTAGTGTTATTTCTATGTATTTTCCTAACAGGATTAAAAAAGGTATTAAAGACCGAAGGTCAAAGTTGATAATGGAACTTAAACATAAACATTGCAAGTTGAAGGGTAATGATATTACACAGCTTGATAACATTCAAGTCTTTAAATAAAGAACTTGAGCGTTCAGTGCTTATCAAAATTTTAGTAATCTCGCCTAAAAACCTTGACGTTCGCCGGTAGAGAAGGTGGTCTACTTACAATGAGAAAACTTAGTAGATGGTGAGAGAGATCATAACATAAATTTCAACTTATGGAAAAGCGCTCAAGGGAATTAAAGAAAATATTGTCAATGAGAGTTGCTAAGTGATCTTTTATTCCAGTTTGCTGCAGAATTTGAGGTTAAAAATAAAATGTGCCCAAGATATCTAAGAAATTTTCCTTACTAGGCTGTGATGTGCTTGTACGCAGGTGAAGCTTTGGACGTGTGATGAAATAGTTCTTATCCTGATAACTCTCACAGGGAGACTTCATTCGACAGAACCTGTGATATGGGAGAGACAGAGACCACGCTTTCGTTTCCTTTTGCACCGGAACGTGAAGCGCACCTGGCGTTACCAAACTTGTGCGTTGTGTTACTCTTCATTCGAACAAGCCCTTTGACTTCTGGGTAAATTTAATGGCGACTTTCAGTGTGAAATGCTACGCAACTTTCATCGATCAGTTTCTTCTCTTTTAACGATTAGAAGCTCGTTATTGACAAGACCGAAGGACTCTAGAGTGCTGTATTTTTGGAATTCGCCAGTTAAATTGAATAGCAGCGACAACAAGGTAACGAAAATTAAATTCAGTGAACATGTTCAGTTAACGTCACATGGCTGTTACTACACTTTCAACCCCTTAAATCTCAAGATCTGATCTTTGATTCTCTCTTCTTGCTGTTAAACATCTCCTTGTAACTTATTTACGAGAACCTGGTGTTAGATCAAGATAACTTCTACCTGTTAAGTTTGAGTATTTCTACTACTTGTTTGTTGGATTATGTATGGATAATCTAAGGAGAAGTTACTTGTTAATCACTTCTGGGAGTTATAGAATTGAATTAAACTTAACGAAAATAATGTAAATTGTTCAATCGATGTACCTTGGAAGATTTTTTATGATGTAATCAAAGGTTTCTTGTTTTTTAGTGAAAAGTAATTTCATGTTTATTGTATAGTATTTGTGGAAAGTTTTTCTTTGTATCCTATAAAATTCAAAAACAGAGAAGTAATTGGAAAGGTGAACTGTTTTTTTCGCCTTTGTTTTATTTTTTCACATGGCTCTCTGCATTTGTAAATTTGGGGTTATACCGAACATTTGTATACCTAGGATTCCATGGTAGTTGACTTGTGTTCTTTACCCTCCTTGTGACTTGATTTTTGAATAGGATGACAGAGATGGGGGTACATACCTAGACTATAAAGGAAAGATTCCATTGGGTAAGACCAATGTATTACTGTGAACACTGATACTTTAAGGCATACCAGAGGATAATACTCCAAAGCCAAGCCAGGACTGAGACACTCTGGAAAAATACAAGATTGTTCCACATGAAGTTTAGATGAAAGTCCTAAAAGAGAAAAAACAGGAAGTGGCTCTAGGAAAGCTTGATCTAACCTCTCAGAGATAGTAATTCTCTCAAGTTTATTTCCAAAAGATCAAGGTTTCCCTCAAACTCAGCCAATAAACCTGAAAATTAATTTTTTCAACCTTGTAACTTTCAAGATCTTGTCATTAATCTTCCCCTCAAGCTGCTACCTATTGCCTTGTAAATAGGTTACAATAATTTGGTTTTAGATGAAGATAACAACTTCTGCCTAATCAGATAAGTTTGAATATTCCTATTACCAGTTTGCTGGATAAACATATGGATATTATAGGCAGAAATTACATACTAATCACCTCTGGGTGTAACAGGGAAGCCTTGTCTTCTGTACTGTAATGCAAGAAAAGGCAAGTGTTTGTTATTTGTGTCAAAATTAGCCTTGACATCCAAATTATGAAATTAACTACAAGAGCATCCTTTTGAAATATATATAGGGGTATAATTTCTTAGACTACTGCTTGTTTCTTATTGGTAGACAAGTTGAGTGTAAAATTTGCAAGAAGTTCTGGGCCAGGTGGACAGAATGTGAACAAAGGTTAGGTTCGATTTGATTTCTATTGCTTTAGTCTTTGGATTCAAGGACCTTCAAGAGGGAGTTTTTATTACCTAAATATACATGTACAAGGAAAAAATATTCAAAAGTACATATTTACTGCCACTCATAACTAAGAGTTTACTGCTACTTATAACTAAGAGAGCACTTTTTTAAGACCTATCAGATTTCCAGAGAGACATCTTATCTGTCCTAGACTAAAGCATCTGTTATACATTTCCTGAGCATCAATCCCTCCTGGTGTATTCCTGAGTAGTTATCAGTGTAGTGGCTATTGCATCCATATTCATCCAAAATCAAAGCCTAGAAGGAATATTTGGTCCAATTAATTCTTGGTTTGGTACTTTGGTTGTAAAAACTAATATAACTTTAATTTCTTCATTTGTAAGTAAATACCAAGGTGGATTTACGCTTTCATGTTTTAAGTGCTGAATGGATTCCAGAGGATGTTAGACACAAGATCTTGGAAAAGGTATTGTTGTGAAAGTCCCTTGTTAAATCAAAAACTGTTTGCTAGCATTTGTATAGACTATGGTTGAGGAATGTTGAAGAGTGGAAACTAAAACTATTGCTTTTGGCATTTAAGCCTATAAATTGCTAATCCCTCAGAATCCACTAAGTCTTTGCTTGCCACTTTTTAAACTAAAAGAAACATTTTTTTGCGACAATAAAGGTAATTTGCATTTTATTTTCTGGACACCATGTTCAGAATGCCATTTTGTGTAGTCTTTGCAATGTGAGCCATCACTATTGACTGAACAAAAAAACCTCTCCTTTCTCCAAAACTTACAGGAGACGAATAGAATCAACAAAAATGGTGAATTATTTCTCAGCTCAATGAAATACCGCAGCCAGCAGAAGAACTTGGAGGATGCCATTGAGAAAGTGGAAATGATCATTAAGGAAGCATCTTATATTCCAAAAGAAACCACACTGGAGAAAAAGGCCAGAGTAAAGAAACTGTAAGATAATACTGTTTTAATTGTATTTCTACCAGTTATTGTTTCTTCACAAAGACAGCTGATATGAGGAAGAGCTATCCCATGGGCTACACAAAACCTGCACCATTCAAAAGTTTTTGAATGTAAGTTTTCAGCTATAAGTGCATTGAGGGGAAACAGAAACAGGTGTAAAGCAAGGCTGAGCATACTACTCATTTGCACTGGGCCAATTCCTTACAAAGAAGTTTCTTTTTTTTATTTCACTCCTGATATAGTAAAAGGTTACAATTAACCAAAGACTGGAAATGTAAGATATTTTAAGTCAGGGCCAAATGGGTGTTCTGATGATTCCAGTTTCACTGTGAATATCAAGTGATTGCTTGGAATAAATTTAGAAAAAAAGTTTTCACTCTTTCCAAGGTGACCAGGCAATAACAATTTTATAATGTGCTACTCAAATGAGGGTCGTCTTGTAATATTATTTTAATTCTGATTGCTGTTATATATTTTCCAACTTACCACAAATCAAGGTATGGTCTCTGCAGTTTTGTCATAAAAAATGTGCCATTAATTTTTGCAGTTTGTACCTTGGTTAGGGTTAAAACTCTTACCTCAAAAATTATTGCTGTACTTCGCATATGTGGATGGAAACTATGTTACCTGCAGAGTTTAAAGTGTTATTTCTTGATTCTATTTTTGTGATTTTATGATATTTATGGTTATTTTTCAGGGCAAGAATTGCCAATGAAAAGCGCCTCCTTGCCAAGAGGTACAGATCAGAGAGAAAAAGAGATAGATGGCAGGTGTGATTAAAGAATTTGGCCAGACAAAAAAAAAAAAGAGGGAAGTGGAATGCCAAATTGTGCCTCTACAACAAGGACAAACCATCCCAAAGACATTTCCTGGTTTATACTGAATAAAAGAGAAACAAAACCAAAGATTATCTCACAGAGCAAATGTAAATCATGACAGCCTAAAGTAGAGACTTTGATAACATGCCAAATAAATGAAGAAATGGTTCTCAAGAGTGATTCTAAGTTTTCTCCAAATAGAGGAAAGCTCAATTTTTAATTTATCAAACTCTGAGAAGTTAAGAAGGACTGTTGTCAGTAGTGGTGACTGACATTTTGTCAGAAGTCATCATCAGAGTCAAGTGAAGAGTTGTTGTCAGTTTAGTGTCATAAGTCCAGTTGTGTAAACTGATTGGTCAGTTTAGCCTTGATGTCACTGGCTATAAGAATCAATTACAAGTGGTGTAAGTCAGTCATGATCTGCCAGGTTTGATCTGGTTGGTAATGTTAAGCCATTCTGTCTGGTTCATTTGTGATGTAGCTGTGGTGAACAAGTTATCTGTATGGCGTCAGTAGCCACTAATGACAACAGTCCTTCTCAGGACTAACCCTCAACCAAAAAATTTTATCACATGATCAAATGTTACCCTCAGGTTTAAACCATTCACTTTATCAAACTGGTTCTTACCTGATGAACTGACCCTGAACTGTCTTAATAGCAGAAACATCAATGTTAGTTAACATATTAATCAAAGGAGCCTTATAGTTTTTCCAAAAACTCATTTGTCCCAGCAATTTGATGGGAAATATTTTTCCACTCAGGTTATCCTGAGTTCATCCAACTCCATTACCTGATCTTGATTTCTCACTCAAACCTTCTTCTGGTTAATGATGAACAGCCCTTTAGAAAAGAGTGCATGCTGAGGGTGAATTACAACATCTTCATGAGCTAATTGTAATATAATTTTAAACTTTGTACTGACTGGGGCCACCAAGACATTTAATGTATTGACCTAGTTATGAGGGGGGCATTGTGATTTTTGGTTTCATGGTTTTTCAGTCTGACAGCAATTATGCACCACTACTGGTCTTGAATAGGCTTGAAATCTCTGTATGCTTCACTTGCCACTGACTGTAGCAAGTCGATTGTGGTTTTGATAACTGGGATGTGAAAATTTATCAGTCTTGATGGTTTTGCATGTGGTTTTCAGTTTTGATCTAATTTTTCTGTGGTTGTGTGGTTTGGGATGATTTTTTTGTACAGTTTTGAAGCTTGCTATAGGCCCCAAAGCCCCTCTCAATTATTTACCAAATTTGCTTTAAAAAAAAGTCAAAAGATAGCTCATTTCCCTCCTATAGTTCTTTAGGAAGGATGATCCCTAGGCTCTATACCTAGAAACATGAACATATTCAGGTCCTTTAAATTGTCTTTCAAATTGAACTTTCTTCCTCCTGTATTTCTGTCCTCTCCAGGTTGGCACCAAAGTCACTGCAGGGCCTTTCTGACCGCCTCTAACAATTCTTTCCCAGTGTGGTGGAGATGGATCAATTATGCTCAGAAGTTTGTCCATTGTTATGAAACGCAGTGTGAAATGAGAAGCAACTCACTGAAAAGTGTGAATACTAAGAAAGCATACGGTTGCACTGGAGCACGACCTAGGTATGCATTATCCCAAATGCAAGTGCAGGCTTCACGAAAAGACAGAACTTCAACCAACTTTTGTCCCTCGTAGAAGCTTCCACTCCGAATAGCTTTACAGATAAAACAGTGGTCAAATGTTTCGAAAGCGACTTTTATTTGCTTGTTCAAGCGGGTGTCCAAGTTTAGCCAAGTGAGCTGCAGATGCGCTATCCTTGCGCATTATGCATGGTAACAATAAATCGTTTTCCAAAGTATTCTTCAACCTCAAGTTACGAATATGCGACAAGAGAAACGGAATTTCACCATCGTAACCGTTAGGGTTAACTGAACCAAACTGAGGATGCATCACTAAAGTCGTGAAAAACCCTTGCCAAAACTTTTAACTACGTATATGCATTTTAAACAAAAACCAACACCAATCCTTCCGTTCTGGTATCGGTGTCATTATGGTAAACAACTTCGTTCCCACGGTCATCTGTTTGCAAATCAACGTATTCATTAAATCTTATTGTTTCTGTTCATTAAAGATGGGTGGCTAATTTGGTTGTGCAATTGAAATACAGAAATTGGATAAATGGTACGGTCAATTGTATTTTGAAGCCACAGAATGCACATTTGGGCAATAATCGTAGTGTTACAAGGACCGCACCTTTCACAAAAAATGAGTAACCTTTAAAACAAAAGTAACCCATCCAGGTAACAGCCAACTGTTTTGGTCCTGTTGGGCCACATCAGCGTGGCGTGGCGATCGTGATGGTTGTGGCTTCCCACACAGAGAAGGAAAAATGCATGTATGGCCACGCCACAGTCAATCCATGAGTTCAGTGGGCGTTGTCTAGCTCCGCCTCACTCGTTCTGAGTCATCTGACGCAGCAGTAGAGTGCTGGTCTTGATTGCATGATAACCTCTCGATCCTTGCTTATAGCAAAGGAAAAAGGGATAGAAGAGTTTGGAGAATATGCATACTGATGGTAGGTGTTAAGGTTACCAAGGTGATTCCAAAGCACAGAAACGAGTCGTGCGGCAACTTGTGCAACGTTTAGTTAGTAAAAAAAATTCCTGGGATAGAGAAGGAGTTTCTTTTAGGTGGAAGACTAAGAATTTTACCACCATGTGATGGAAATTGCCTATCTAATCCAGCTGCCTGACATGTCTTTCACGATAGAGATGTTCCACAACACAGCATGTCATCTCGTATTGTTTTGTTTTTTTCGGACGCGAAAATGTCTAACGTGAGTGTTCAACATTCTCATACCACGATTATCGGCTGAGGGAGACAGGGAACATGTTTGGTGACAGGTTTGACAATGTTACCACGGGCAGCCGTCCTTGTTTCCAAAGGTAACTGAATCTAAAAGAGCCGTGCGACGTGAAAGCTCGCCGAGAAAGTCAAAGATACATTGGCACTGCAAACAGAGCCATGCAGTTGCCTGTGACAACAACGCGATTTAAATGTCAAAGCTTCTGTCGCTCCCCACTCAATGGAAAATGGTAGTAATGTTATATTAAACCTTCTCCCCTAAAAGTTTTTTTCATACATCACTATAAAGTAGATTATAGGTCAATTTACACGCAGTATATTTTCCCACAACCAGCAGGCAAATTTTCCTTCTCTCACTCTTACTGGTCACAAAGAAATGGGAGCAACTCATTAATAAGCGTTGAGTGTGGCTGTGATACTAACACAGGTTTTTAAAACTTATCGAACGACATTTTTCTGTTGTATACAACTGCCACAGATACATCGTAGATTTGGTTTTAATCAAAAAAGTTTCATGAAGATTACACTAATCATGTTGTACTGAAAAAAAGTTGCACATTTATTTCTTACAAACAAAGAGGAGATGAGTAATCGTAATAAACTGGATTCTTTTGTTTGCTTGATTTATCTAGTTACTCACAAGTAGAAAATTATTTTTCTCCCAGGTAGGAGCATGGAATTGAATACTATTCAAATGTAGTAATTTTTTTCTCATTAAAAAATCTCTTTTTTGAGTAGCCAATGCCAGATTTTCCCGCAGTCAGTGGAGATAAAAAGCTTCTAAGGACCAAGACCTACCATTTATTTCCTTAGTTCCCCTTAGTTATTTTGCCGCCACTACTCGACCGAGCGCGAAAATTGTTAATATCTGGGCGCGTTGGCTAGCCAAGTCCGTTTATTTAAAGCTATTATGCTTAAAAGAGCTCATCATAATTACAGTTCAGTGAAGGAAACTGAATGCACAAAAGCCAAACACGAAAACCCATAAAACCGGCCCTTGGAATAAAAAAAGAAGAGAACGTGTACCCCTGACCACTGCAGTGGTGCCATCTTCCGGGTCTTAGGGTATCCTATGAATAACATGATATACACAAGTACATAAAAGTTACTTAAAGAAGCATGCGAGTACAGCTCTTAGTAAAACCTGATGTGAACATGACGATATTCCAGGAAAAAACTAAACAAAAAAGACTTAATAAATTTATACAAAAATGAAACCGACCAACTTAACATGGCGAAGGCTGACCGTAAAATACCTCGCCCTACTAATGATCTCAAATAATTATTACAAAGTACGATCCCATAACTCTCCCCGCACTACACTCCCCTTCAGTCCTCTGATAAATGCTGGGAAAATTTTAATTTATGCTAATTGCGATTATCACAAATTACATTTTTTCGCTTTTGACCCTGCTTTTTTGCTTTATATGTACTAGCTTCAAATGTATGTGAATTGATGGCACCAAGCTTTTCCTTGTCTTTAAATTCACGTGACTACTATTGCTACACAAGTGAACAACAGCAACAAAAATAAAAATATCAGACACAATAATTTAAAACATCAGGAACACTACTTGGATTTAGGGGCCACCAGTGTATGGAGAGACCTAGGGGAATATCCAGAAAGATGACTGGTGCCCCCCTTCCCCCACCACCCTCTTCGCCATCAAACTTGTGAGTATTTTGTGAATATAGTCTAACAACGAAATTCTTGCAATGACAAGATTGCATATTACTATCAAAGATGTAAAATTTACTAAACTTGAGAAATATTTCTGGCTAGCTTTCCACACTGAAAACAACTACTCAGAAAAGGTTTCACCTGTGGCCACAATATCATTGGGTTTTCTTGAGGCAAAAGTCACTCACAACTACACCCAAATTGACAGTGCGGTCATACAAGGCTTGCGCTAGGGAATAGTAAGAAGCACCATTACCATTGGCCTGCTTCCATGCTCTTAATATTTGATAGGACTGCTCAGAACCTTTTTTTGGGTTGTCCATCACTATTTTATCTAATCGATTATCTTTTACCCCAAGTGCCCTACCCAGTCTTTTACATTTTCCCATCACGGCCTCAGCTATGTCTGGTAAATCTCTCCCGTCTATTGGTCCTTCCTTTAGGTTCCCTGCTTTATATTGAAAAAACCAAACAAAAACATGTGTAAGGAAACAAATGCATAAGCAACTTATGAAGTGAATTACAACTTATGACATATCAAATATAGGCAAATAAACTGAACTTCTCTATGACAAGTTTGAAGTTTGCTACGGAGGTTCAGAATCTGTGAATCTGTGCTCAACAGGACAATGAAGGTTGCATGATTGTCAACAATAACGGAATATGATGCTGTATTTAGCATTCTACAATGAAGAACACTTATTCAAAGGTTTTCAATTGTGAGTCCATCATTATGAAATGCGCTTCTCTGTGTTTCCTTCAGTTATTAACTCAGAGTTTAAAGGAGCAAGTGCTGCCACCGTATGAAAGACAGCTTCAATCGATTTGCTTGTCCTGAATGGGGTCATGGTTGAAAGGAGAAAGAGCTTGATAGTTTAAGTTAATGCAAAGAGCTTAAGAAATTATTCTGTTACTTACGCAAATTCACAACTTCCTTTAGGGGTGGAGTGCATTCCATAAGACAGAAGTCTCGACGAATCTCTTCAAGATCATGCTTTCTTAGGGCAAACGCAAGCTTGTCATAGGAGGCAGCACCTTTCTGCCACCAAGTTTTTAGCATCTTATAACTTCGCTCGTATTCCTCACCGTTGTCTATCTCAATACCATTGAGTTCCGCATCACTCAGATCTAAGCTTTTCCCAAGCTTTTTCCATTCCATGTCGCCTTGTATATCCAATGCAAGGTATGGAAACCATTCAAGAGGAATGTTACCCATTCTGACTTTTGAAAAAAGAATGAACTTCTGTGATACTAATATTTGGGATTTCTTTGTTCCCTATTTACACTGCATAAGCCACCTCTACCTTCTTTTTTTCCTCATTGTATATTTCTTTGAATTCTCAAATCAAAATAAATGGAATTTATAATATACTGATTAAATTCCTTAAGATGTGGAACAATCATGAGGTTTTGTTCCTCATTTGATAGTTCGTAAGCACCGTTTTAAACCCTGTTTGAATCTTGAACGCTTCCATGCTTTTCTATTCGCAGTTTCCTCTATGACCTCTATTGCCATTCCCTTGTAAGGAATTAATGGTTGAGTCTACCACACAGTTGTTTCTACTCGTATCAACCAGAATGAAAGAGACACTTGACAGCACTTGTGCTTGGAGAGTTCAATATCACAACCCTAAATGACCTAAATTAGTGAGGTCAAGTAATAGTGCCATGCAAACTGATGCCAGGATCATACTGTGACTGCTCTAAACATGATAATTACTATCACCGGACAGATTAATAGGTAAAGCAGCATCTGATAATTTTTTTTCAGTTGTTAAAAGTGATTCAATTCCTGAGTTCTTCCCTAATTTTACTTGCGATACATGTTACATTTTAATAGCGCATTTGTCATAGTTAATAGTGATATTGATACTAATGCCGTATTTTCACCTTATTCAATGATTTAACATGTAATACAAACAGACATTTTGCAAGTTGCATAGTCTTTTACACGGTGAGGAAAATAAGAGCAATTTCTGTTTGAATTACACGTTAAACCATTGAATAAGGGATTTATTTTTCCACTATTGTCTCATTTTCAGGTATTTTGGCATCTAGTTTAGGAAATATATCCTTTGACTTCTCCATATAATTGTATAGAATGCAGAAAGCATGCACAAAGGACGAAAATAACACTAATGAAACTATTAAAGTGTTCTCTAAGATACACGTTAGAGGTCAAGCCCGAAAACGGAAAACAAACAAAAGTTTTGATCATTCAGTGTGGCTATTTTGTCTCTCCGCCTTCCGTCTGTAATTCAGCCCTGTTCTACAATGTATTACCGTCCCTTATCGTCGCTAATATGGTAGAATGGTGTAAAATAATGTAAAATGGCGTAGCCTTGAATAGATCATATTATGCATTAATACAAATGACCTGCTGCATAAAATCAGTCACAGTTTCAGTTTCCTGTGCATAGGAAAGTAGTTAAACTAAGTCGAACTCTCTACAATTGTGGACTCTGTTTTTGATTTAGCAAAATCCAAAACATCACATGCCTGCACATGAGGCTAAATCCTACACCATCTCTCTTTAAAGTGATTAGATAAGAACAAAAGGTGACCTCTTACTTTTCTCACCAGACTCCTGAGCAGGGACTGTTTCAGAACTGGAGGATGTCTTCTCATAACCTTTAAAAAAAAAAAAAAAACACAAGAAAATATTCCTTAAGAATCTGCTTTTCATTTCAACTTACAAATTAGGTTGAGGATAATAATCAAAATTAAGAACAATCTAAAATGGCATTAAAAATGAATATTAACAATAGTAGCCAGGAAACAAACATACAAATTTTGTCCTAGTACGGATATTTTACCATCCTATTTTGGTCAGAGTTCTAATGCCTCACAGTCTTTAGATAACTGCAGAGCCAATTGCAAGAAACCCTTCAGTTGGTGAACGTGAGCAAACAAATACTAACAACAATCAGTTACAAAAAAATTACCAAACACAACTTCATGCTGCTTGCTCCCCAATTCTTTACCCTCTTCCTGATCTGATGGATGTACTGGAGCTGTAAATAAAAAATTCAGGTGTGAGAAGTTCACATCTTTTTCAGTATCTTTTCTAAGTCCTGCTGAGAATATTGATGATTCATTCAT